AGAACCTGGGGTCCATCATAAGTCCCCTTTCCATCACAGGTGGGTAAAAAATCACTGCCCAAAGAAGATTGGGACCAAATGTGTCCTGGAAGTAAAGGCTACCACTAGGTGATAAGTCTCCTTAGATGGTACACAAGAAGGAAATCAAGATCAAGAATAAATAAATTCCTTAGACGGTCAGGAAAAGAAAGGATATTCCAATCGGCATTTCTTATTGAGAAGAGATCTTGAGAAGTAGGTCTTTGGAAGAAGCTGGAAATAATTTTTTTCATTTTTTACTCTTGTGATCTACTTAGACATTTTTAGATATCCTTCTTCCCTTTTTTGAATCCATCCTTTTGTAGTTTCCTGTAATCCAGTGGCTTGGTATAATATACGGCAGTGACAACCTGCTGGCAATGATGCAGTGGACTAGAAGAATCTTTATCCAAAGATACTGTGGAACGAAATATTATTCTCAAGGTTGAATTTAGAGACTTTTATACTTATGACGAGTTTGTTAGATTAGAAAAATAGTTTAGCTGTAGTATGTATCATGCTGTTCGAATAAAAATGTACTTATGTTTTCAATTGATTAATAAACTCACGATCTAGCCTGGCTATAGATATACAAAAAAAAAAAAGAACAATTTTTCAAAAAATAAAGTTATAAAAATGCTATCAAATATCTTTATTTTTAAAAAGTTATCAACAAAAATTTTTTCGAAAGTAATAAATAAAAATCTTTTGAAAAAAATTATTAATATATTTTTTGACTCTACCACTCTGGGATTTTCATATTTGGGTCTTTTTAAGAAGAATATTATCAAGATATTGCTAAAGCCTTAAGAGCATCTCCTACAGTTTAACATGTAATGTCAGTTGCTATTCAAAATAAAGAAATAGTAAATAAAGATACAAAAGTTAGATCAATTCGATTAGACAACATGCAAATTATAATTCTCGAATGTGGAACAATTCCTTCTGAACCTAAACGTCGATATGCGGATGGATAAGATATTATGGAAGATGAAAGTCTTAAAGATTTTGAGAAAAGATATAGAAGATAGCAAGTTGAAAAAGAACAATGGTTTAGGGTTGAAAACTTTTGCATTGCTATAATGAAAGATGAATATATGAATTATCGTTTTCAATAATATTTTTTAAAAATATATTTATTATTTTAAAATCAAATTGAATGTAATATAACAAAACATAAAATGATATCAAATAAATAACATAAAATGACATCAAATAAATTAAACTAAATTATCAACTATTTGTCTGTTGCAATTTCTGATTCTTTTATCAACTATTCTTTTGAACTCAATAGCCTTTTCATTTTTATTTTTTACCCATGATTTCTTATAATATTGACCATTTTCTCTGTATATGAATTGCCATTTTTTTTTGCTTTTATCTAAGCTCAATCTATTAATTTCAGATGTATTATTTTTATATAATTTATAATTTTTTTGGTTTATTCCACTACTTCCATCCCTTAAATTGCATTCATGATTGTCAAGACCATTGCAATTGATGTAATCAACTATTTTCCATTCAGGATGTAATAATTGATGAAATTCTTTACTATGACTATTTGTTATATAATGATTATTTTATTTACCATTATGTATTTTCCAAGTAAATTCATGAAGAAGTTTATAATTTTTGATATCACATATCATAGTTTTATCGTGATTAAGTTTGACTTCAAGGTATACAATACCTTTTTTATTTTTAATAATATGTATTTGATTTTTAATTCCTAAATTAGTTTTTCATCCTCCGAACCAATTTGAGGTTACAGGTTCCATTTTTGTATAAGTTAAAATCAAAACTTATATATTTATATTTTTTATTGGATTATGGAGTTATTTTTAGAATCGCAGGGTTCAAGCTTATCCAATCAGACAAGCCAGTGTTACCCTGCGATTATCAAAATAACCCATTTATTGATAATGATTATATTTTAATAAGTAGATTTTTAAGTATTAATATGCAAGTAAATAAAAACATAATAATCAAAATTACTTAATAGTATATTATCTATTAAAACATTAGTTTAATAATATGTTATATATTATGGTTAAACTCAAAAATAAAAAAAAAATCGTATAAATGTAAGCTTAAATTTTAAAAATGTAATGCAATTAAACTTTAATAGTATATATATTTCGTTGTGTAGTTTAACTTTGATTAATACACAAAAATTGATATAATTAATAAAATAAAAAGTTTATTATGTAACAACTTTTTACATTTAAAAAAAAGTTTCGAAATCCCCTGTGTATCAAATTTTCTTTTATCGAGTAAACCGGGACCCGGAAAATTTTTGATGATCATAACTATTTTCAATTAATGCATACTAACACAGTTTCTTTTATTGAGAGTTGACCGTAGTACGAAAATTTCACTCGAAAATAGTGCTGCACGGGTAACGCACTCCTTTAAAACGTGTAAATTCAGGATCCATGGAGTTATTTCTTGAATATTTTGAGACAACGTCACCGGGAAAATACCGATTTCTCGATTATTACCAGTATTGTAAAAGCCGGGATGGTTTTGTAGGTAACTTTCGCCAAGAAGCAAAAAGACTTAAAGATACCTTGGAACACCTGGTGAAAAATGAATCGGATTTAAAGAAACTAAAAGCTCAATATTTGCTTGATGTTTTTGAGGCGAGTATCTTTTTTCATTTCATTTTGATTACTGGCAAACAGTATGGAGGACCCTGTTAAGTTCAAAGAAAGGGAACATACTTCCACGACTACGGTGAGCGCGTACGCTCCGCTCACTTTATGGCGTTCATTAGATCCCGTTGTGGTCTACAAGTTTTGTAGAGGTGGGGGCCTCCAGCAGTCCTGAGAAGGGGTAACACTCACACAACTATGGCGGGTGCCTACGTACCACCCGACCTTACGGCGTTCATTAGATCCCGTTGTGGTCTGCTTTGCCAGGGGGTTGTCTGCTTTCCAGTGAGGATAAGATAGTAAAAAAAATTGTGTATTATAAATTTGTAGAACCATAGAAAAAAGAACGTGGATATCGATAAATTTTGGAATGAAGTTGAAGGCGAATCTCTGGATATAGAGCATACCAAAGAAAAAAAACAATTACAGCTAGACCAGGTCAATAATTTATACTTACTTTAATATTGTTAAATATTTTATGGCTAATTATTGTTCTGAATTGCAGTTGAAAATAGCTCGTATTATGACAAAGGGAACTGAAGATGGCGTTGGAAATATTATGAAAAATGTCAATACGGAGCTGGTATGGCAATTTACATTTGACATTGTTAGAAATGATCTACTAATTCAACAAACTTTATGTTTTATTTGTAGGTCGAGTCAGCTACTTATCTTAAAAGAAGATGAGATGTATATTACAAAGAAGATCGAGATGGGTACACTACGCCTTGTCCAAACAGTCCAATGGTGAATAATCCGGAGGGCGAACCGAAACCAAAGAGACGGGCTAATACTGATGATAAGTCTTGCACTTCATCTGCCGGAACTAGTGATGAAATGGTCGGTGACATAAATGATATGATTCTGTTTATGTATTTTTTTCTTTTTATTTTGGCTCAGCCGACTGGTATTAATTTTACAAAGTACAAGAGTGTGGATGACGAGTCCGAAGATTCCGAAGAAAGTGATGAGGAAGACGAATTGAGGCTAGACGTGGAAGAAATTGGGTTCGAAGAATACATTGACCAAGGGAATGAACCTGCAAGTATTTTTTATCAAAATAAACTGCAAGCATGATTTCGCTAAATCAATAACCGTTTTATAGTTTATTTTCAAAACAAAAAACATATCTTCACTATTTGAGTCATATCGATCCAAAGCGTTAGCTCATGCGCAAAATTCTGGCCTGATAATGAGGAAAAATTATCACGAAATATTGTAGGTAGAACTTTTAATGGAATGTCTTTTTAATAGTTAACTTTACTGATGGAGATTGATTATTATTAATTTTTTTGTAAATTCAGGAGTCTATCCCATATTCTTTTACTACAAAGGGATAATTATTCGGAAACACAAGTAAAAACGTTCTCTAGGGAAACGCTCGAAGATCTCAGAAAGGATATTAAACCAAAGTTAATCGGAAAAGAAAAAGTATCAAGGGACATAAAATCAATTCTACAGGATTACATTGAGGTTCGTATTTTTCTATTATCATCATTATTTTGCAATGTTCCCTTTAATAACTATCTTGCTTAGGTTGCTCTTGACGATAATGATGGTGGATTACACGAACTTCGTGAAACTATCACTGAATCTTTTTCGAAAGAATTTAATTCAACAGCAGAGAAGGAATTTCTTCGACGAATGAAGTTTCTCTTTGAACATCTGTAAGTTTCGATATCTCTTAGTTAAGCAACTTATTGAAATGACTGTTAAAAATATATTTTCTTGCTACTTTGCAGGTCTTATACTATCCCATTACATCCATTAAAAGAAATTATAAGCGAAGGGACACTTGTGGCGAATATAATAAGTCCGATTTTACGAATTTTTTTTCACGACTCATACATATATCCTACGATATGGCCGAACACATCCAGCACCAGCGCAAAGATCCGAAAACTTGCCATCAGGGATCCTTCCCGGGCTAAACAACCCGATATGATCGGGAAAACCGTAAATAATGGTACTTGAGAAAAAACAGCTAATCATAAAAATACAAATAAATATGTTCTAAATATTTCTTTTACAGGAAAATTTGTTTACGAAACGATGTTCGGTGAGGTGACGGGAGAAGGCAAAAACAACACGGAAAAAAAGAATCTAATCGACCTGGTTAGATTGGGATATTTATGAAAGATTCTCTTGATAATATTTCGCGTAAGACAGGTGTCAATCTGATTTTCAGTTGGCAAGTTATTGGTAAGCTGGTCTTCCAGGAACGCTTGTTTTAATATCCTTATCCTATCTAATTAATGATTCTTCATGTAATAAATAGTGACAAAGTGGACCGGTTATATGATGACATTAATTAGCCCAGGAATTTACGTTATGATTGATACTGGTAGTGTAGATCTTCCAAGATCTTTCGAAGTATGCAATACGTTTTTAACTGGTATGGACACACTGTTTGCATTTCAGGTATAACTTAGGAGGAATATCAATATTACTTTTTATTTTTGTATAAATGACTAATTCAAAACTGTTCCTCTAGATAGCGTATGAAAAAACAATAAAGGATATTCTCTCGATCATGAATAAAAGTGAAGAATTCGAGAGAGATGATAATTTTAAAGGATGGCGTCGATCAACACTAGGAACACCATTGTTCAAAAAAATTGTGAAGTTCAAATAACTATCAAACAAGATAATAGAACATATATTTACGTAAAATCCATTAACTAATTATATGCTATATCAGCTGTTTCTTCGTTTTTCAATATTAATAAAGTTGTTTTGCTCACATTCCGGTTTTAATTGGCTTTACTATACAGCGGCCGTCATAAAGAACGCACCACTAGCATTGATGATCTTTAATTAAATATATCTCATGCAATTAAAATTCAATCACGATCAAATTAATGATATTTACAGTATAATGCATTGAGTGATCTAAATAATGCTTAAATTTTAAAGCAGATTAATATGATAGATTTTGATTAAAATAATATTTAATGAATAATCGCAGGTGCATTATTTTTGCTGTTTTTTCAACAAATATAAAAATAGCCTTTTTAAAATGTTAACCAAATGCAAAAAAAAACAATTGACAATAGAACAAAGAACAAAGGCTATTACACTACTTGAAGAAGGATATAGTTTCCATCAAGTTGCTGTTAAAATTGGCCGTAAATTTCATTATTCTACGATCTTAAGACTTAAAAAAAAATATCAAGAAACAAAACAATTGACAAATAAACCCACTATAGGTTGACCACGGAAACTTACTCCACGTCATGAATGCATTATTGTCCAAAAAATAATGATTAATGAGTGTAAAACAGCTATTGATATACAAAAATCACTAAAAATTTATGATAAAATAGATATCAGCACTAGTACAATTTGTAGAATACTTAAAAGAAATGGCTTACATACATATGCAAAATGCAAGAAACCTCTGTTATCTAAAATTTATCATAAAATCCACCTAAATTTTGCTAAAAAGTATTGACATTGGACCATAGAAGATTGGAATAAAATAATTTGGTCAGATGAAAAGAAATTTCAAATTTTTGGACCTGAAGGATGTAAATTTTATTGGAAAAGACTTGGATATCCTATAAAAGATCAATATATAATACCGATAGTCAAATTTGAAGATAGTGGTGTTAATATTTGAGGTAGTATAACTGCATTTGGTATATGATATTGTACAAAAATTGAAGGAAATCTTGATAGCAAGCTATATAAAAAAATTTTACAAGATGAATTATTATATGCATTAGATTATTATAATTTAGATCCAGAAAAGATTATTTTCCAACATGATAATAATCCAAAATATAGGGCAAAATTGATTCAAAATTGGTTAAAAGATGAAAAAATTGAAGTTCTTTTATAGCCATTATAATCTCTGAACTTAAATCCAATAGGACAACTATGGAATAATATAAAATGAAAAGTTAAAACTTTAAAGATTAAAATATATGTAAAGAAACTCTTTGAAAATATTTTTTTAAAAATCTGAAATAAAACATCTAAAGATACTTGTACAAATCTAATTGAGACTATACTATAAAGAATAAAGAATGTAATTAAAGCAAGAGAAGGATATACATAATGGTAATACTAATATAATAGAATTATATATTTTTTATATGTATTTTTTTGAAATCAATAAAAATTTTTAAAATTATTAAAAAACATAAAAAAAAATACACCAATAATTTTATTAAACAATATTCTTTTTTTATTAAACTGCAACTGATATTAAATGCAAGCTTTTATTAAGAAATTACTTAACAATTTGATAGATAATTAAATCCTATAGCAGTTATATCAATCATCTCATACAAACTATATATTTCTATATTTGTGCAGATTAATAATAACTTATTGCAGTTTACCATAGATGAACCTGCTACCACTCTGTAAGTAGGTAAACCCAGCTAGGGATCAGATGGTTAAATACATAGTTATCAATGGCAAAACAGATTAATTTAGTAGTGAGCTTTATAAATTTTTGTGTTATATTCACCAAACTAGGCTGTATTATATACTGTATATTTGATGAGATTTGATTCATCTTCCAATACTCTCAGATATTATTCACTTAGACCTCGGAAGGGAACACTTTCCTTCTTTGTTATCACCTATAGTATCAGATCAATCCTATATGACTAATTTTCATTTAAGTGGAGCATCAGATTGAAATATCTTAAACTAGGAGAGTATGAGTCTTGGAGATTGCCAGGACAAGAGGTCTTTGAGGTATTTTTATGGTAGACTAGATCAGAAGCTTTTCTTCATTTAATCCTTTTGATAGTATGACTGTAGATTTCAGTTCCTGATTGATGGAAGACCAGAAGTCCCATTTTTATGTAGTTTAACCTAATTAGAACTTGTTCCGGATAATTGGATATGACTTTTATAGGATAACTAGTAAACCTAATCAGAAGAGTAATTTTTGATTTTGGTTCTTAAGTGGTATTGAACTACAGACTTTGTGATTGTGACCTGAGAGTACTACCACTATGCTATTGACCCATAAGTCGGTACTGATAATTTTTATTAATAATGTTTTTAAAAAAATCTATTATATTAATAAATAAAAATATTTAAATATTTTATAAAAAAAATTATGAAATATATTTATTTAAAATTTAATATTAATATGATTTAATTTGTATAAAATATATGCTATAAAGTATCAATAATATACCATATACTCTTTCTGCTGATCCTCTACCCACACACAAAAAAGATGTTTACAAGAAATTTTTTATTTCTTTGCTAATAAGGTCTTAACACTATCCCTAAACTAACTTAAAGTTTTACTTTAAAAGATACTCCTAACACTTCCTCTTGTTTATATTCGTTTTCAAACAAAAACTTGGCTTCCTGTGACCTAGAAAAGTCAAGAAACACCTTCTCTACCCATGGAAAGAAAGTTCTGAAAGAAAGAAGAACCAATAGTATAGTACTTGAAGCCTTTCATATTGAAGTATGTCAATAAAGGTTTTCTGCAGTGGGAGGTGGTAAACATCAAGCCATATTTCAAAGTGTCTGTTCACTGTTTCTTCCTTCTTATAGTCACAAAAATTTTTTTTTTGATTTTTCTGAGGAATTTTGCCTACCTCAATTTGATCCTGAATTTTAGATGACACAATCTATTGCAAAATATGATTGGTGGACACGAAACACATTAGTAGCTAAATGTAAACAAGTTCTTACTGATCACTTAATGTGTTTTAATGATGTCATTAATGAAAGAAAGAGAATTTATTGATATGCATTCTTCACTTCTTCAAATGAAGTGTAACTAAAGCAAAGAAATTATGAGGCCATTAGAATGGGCACTAAATTCCCTAGGTAATAAAAATATAGTTATTTGTTAAGCTGAGGTCTTCAATTTCTTATCATTTTGGTTAGGTAAAGTACGCGAAGAAGATTATTTTCTTATCCTGGTCAAGCAATAAGACTGAAAAGTAGAAGACTGTGAGCCACTACCATTCTCTAGGATTGAGAATGCATTTCTCCAGATATTGTATAATGATATCATAATTGACGAGGATCCCATATTCTGTGAGACCTTTCCACTATTGCAAGTCAAAAAGACTGTTAAGGAATCTGGCTTTTTAGATAATAGAAGATACTTATCAGTAAAATTTCTTTAACTAGGTATGGCTACTGAAAAATGTTAGTAGTTACACAATATGACTGAAAGGTTACATAAAAACCTAGGATTCATTATAAGTTGTTAAGATTTGTGTGGATAGATAAAAAATCAATACTGAAAGAAAGGAAGTGACAAGCAAGATACTGGATCTGAGTAGGTAATAAGTACCTTAGATAGTTACAAGAAAATAATTAAGATCACGAATAGATAAGTTCATCAAATAATCAAAAAAAGAAGAATATCCTAGAAGGGTTGACTTCTAATGAGAAGAGATTTTTAGCAGAGATTTTTTGTAGGACATGGGCATTTTTTATTTTTTTTTTCATTTTCTCTTCATATATATACATTTGTGCATTTTTGGATATCCTTTTTTTTTTATTTTCCCTTTTTATTATTGTAGTTTCTCAAAATCAATTCCTTGAAGGATAATTGACAGTAACAATCTGTTGGTAATAATGGATAAATTAGGAAGATCTTTACTTAAAACTTATTTCGAAGCAAAATATTGTTCCCAAGATTGCACTTAGAGGCTTAAGCTCATTTGAGAATT